GGCCAAATCTGACATTTTTATGGCTGTTTCACGATTAAAGATGTGGTTTTAAAAAGGCTAGATCTTTGGTCGTGAAATGGCACGACCAAATATCTGGCCTCTTTCACGGCCACATCTTTGGTGGTGAAATGGCCATAGATGCGGTCGTTTTCTGGTCATCCATGGCCATTTTCGACTTTGCCAATATGGTCGGTCGTGCACTATTCTATCGACTGTCGGCAGTGGTGGTTGGCTGTCGAAAGTGACTTGGGGTGTGTGAGGATAATTTTGCTACAAAATAAAGTTTTATATGATTTGGGTGTTTTAGCAAAATTTCAAATGTAAGGGTTAAAAGAAATGATTTAAAAAAATACTATTATATTAATATTAAAAAAGACAATATACCCACCCCTTTATCCTCACAACCAAACATTATTTATCAATTTATTCGAACTAACCAAACATATTTTCTAAATATTTTCAATAATCTTCAAGGTGATCTTTCTTTCCATTAATATAATATACTTCTATAATAAAATATTATATCATCCAAATGTCCCCAAATATAAAAATTTCAATTAATCAAGTGATATATATACTTATATAAATTTTGTGAAAAATAAGAATAATCAAATAAATAATTCATTTTAATGGTAAGAATAATTTATTTAAAATTATACATAATTTTGAAAATATTCTGAGTTATTTGATTGTATTTTAAAAGCTTACCTAGAATTTAAAATAAACTATTTCATCGTTTATAAGAAAAGCTCAAAATCTAATAAGCTCTTTTTGAGTTTATTTGAAGCGTTGAAATTTTTAAATATCCTAATAATAATTTATAAATTTAACGTGATTTATTCTTACATATTAAAGTCATTTTTGATATTTTTTTACATTTTCTTAAACAAACAATTAATTATTTTTTCATAAAAGTTACATTTTCATAAGTTTAATTCCAATAAGCTCTTTTTAATAAGTTCTACTCGAAGAAACTGTACTAAACAAACTTTAAGAATAAATTTTATTAATTCCAAATTTTGTTTATATATATGTACACCCTTTGGGAAATCTTGAAAATTATCCTAAATTCTTTTATTAATAATTGTTTTCAATGAAATACTATCCGTAAAACCAAGAGGTCTTTTAGCAATTTTATGTAGTTAATTACTTAACTAGAGACATATATTTTTAAATTACTAGGATAATTATCTTCATTTTAATTTTCTTGAAATATGGTCTATCGAGCTTAAGCATAATATTAGTGTTCATATTTCATTGGATTTTAATTTCCAATGAAATATGAACACTTAAAGTCTTAAACATATAATTTAAGTGTTTCTATTATTTGAGGGGAAAAAAAAAAAAAAAAAAAAACTAATATAAGTGTTCTATTATCTCTCAAAACTTTTTCCCTTGGGTGTGATTTTGGCCTTTTGGGTTTTGGCATTATGAATTCAATAATATTAGATGTACAAATAAATCTTACAAAGATTTGTGTACAAACTGATGTGATAGAAAGTGAATAGAAAAACGAATATAAAAAGTCAAATTCATCTTATTCATTTTCTGTCACATCAGTTTATACATAAATCTTACACATGTAACATTACTTGTATGTATTTTTTTTTATTAAGATTTTTTAGTTCTATTTTACAATGTTTATTGAAATATTTAAACACTTTTGGGGTCAGAAAATATGTGAAGTACTTTTTCCACTAAGTTTCTTTTGTTCATATATATACATTCAAAAGGATTATTTTTCTCTATAATAGTAAAGAACATTTTTTTTTTTTAACAAATTAATCTTGTTAAAATAGAATATGTTTCCATGGATTCAATTTTTTTTTTTTTTTTTAGTTTTATTCCTAGAAAATGCTTTTCTTTTAAACAATATATTTTGGTATTTAAAAATTTTATTGTCTATATGGAATTATCTGAATCACACTAATTAGAATCCAAAGAATTTCAATTACACATACAATAGTTAAGTATGCGTTTGGTTTATTATTTTGGGGATAGTATTGGATAATTGAATATGGGAGTATTACGAGGTAAAATTTAAAAATTTATAGAAAAACCCCCTAAGTTTGCTAATTTCATAAATACCCCCAACATGTAAATTGACAAAAATACCCCCACCACCTGCAGTGCCAGATTCTGGCCACCACAGCCGGAATCTGGCCGAAAAATCGCGTTACGACACAGACCGATCGAATTTGTGTCGTAACGAGTCGTTATTGCCTTTTCCGGCTAGATCCACCACAGATCTGGCTGGAAAAGGCCAGATCTACGGCCTGCCGTGGCCGTCGACGGCCAAAAAAGGCCAAAACGACTGCCATATCTTTGGCCGTCAGCCGTAGATCTGGCTGGAACGGCCAAAGATATGGTCATCGTTTTCGGTCAACGACGGCCAGATCTGGCCTTTCCCGGCCAAATCCGTGGTGGATCTGGTCGGAAAAGGCCAGATCCGTGAACTTCCGGCCATTTATGGTCGGCAAGTTGGCCGTTGTATAGATTTCGGCTACCACCTACGGTGGTTGCCGGAATCTGGCGAGTATGGGTTGTGGGGGTGTTTTTGATAATTTTAAAACTTTTTTTTTAGGGTGTATTTGATGAAATTAATAACCTTATGGGGTCTAAAAGTAATTAAAAAAATAGGGTAATATTCTTGGAATAATAAGCCAAACGTTATTTGGAGAATAGGATCCAGAATCTGGATAAAAATAGTAAGCCAAACATAGTGTAAGACTTTATTGTTTTGTTTTGCTACACTTACATTCGTTTATGGCATTTGTTATACAAGAAAGGGCCCGTTTGGATCGGGTTGAAATTTATTAATAAGAGTAATATTTGTTTAATTGAGCAGATTACCGTGTTTGACATTTTTGTACAAAAACATTACCTGAAAATAAGATGACAAATAGTGCCAAAAATGGGGTAAATCCCCAGGAATAATATTACCTAAGGGGAGGGTGGTATTAAAATATTACTTCGGTAATCCAAATTTCTGTCCAATTTTGCCCCAAAACAATAGACAATGTGGATGAAAATATCTTTGGCTTTGTTAATAATTACAAAACACCTAATTTGTAAAATGACAAAAACACCCCCATCACCATAGTGCTAGATTCCGGCCACCACCGTTGGAATCTGGTCGGAATCTACCGTTACAACTCAGACTAGTCGAATCTGGCCAGTGGCGTGTCAATTTGGCATTTTTCAGCCAGATCCACCATGGATCTGGCCGAAAAAGGTCAGATCTATGACTAGATCTGGCCGTCAACGACCGTAAAAGGTCAGATCTGGCCATCAGAGACTGCCAAAGAGTTGGCTGTCATTGACGGCCATTTCTTTGGCCGTTAGATAGGTGAATAAACAGTCATTTATGGTCGTTTTTAGGCCGTTGTGATAGATTCCGACCACCACTGACGGTAGTTGCCGGAATCTGGCAACTATGGGTGGGTGAGGTTGTTTTTGTTAATTTTTAAACTTTTTTTTGGGAGTGTTTAATTAAGTTAATAAACTTAAGGGGTCTAAAAGTAATTAAAAAATAGAATAGTATTTCCCAAATAATTAAACAAACAAGTATTTTGGGAATAGGATAGAGAATAGGGTTTGAAATAATAAAACAAACAAGCCCTTAATTATTTATATCTAGTAATCATCTAAAGGGCATTGTAGTAAAAGAGTATTTCAGGACATATGTTATTACTATCAACCAAACACATTAATTATTAATACATCCCAATTGAACCAAGTACAATAATTATTTAAACCCGGTAATCTACAATGTAATCTTTCTTTCCGGTAATCTTATTATTAAGATAAAAAAATATTATATGATCTAAACGCCCCCTAAGAGTATTAACTCAATAGGATTAAGGGACATGTGATATCTAAATTAATTAATTAAACATTAATTAGGGGGCGTTTGGTTCAGAAAATATTAGATTACTGTGAATATTGGATTACTGGAATCTTATATTACCTTGAAGATTATTGGAAATCTTTAGGAAAATGTGTTTGGTTAGTTTGTGGGTATGTTATAGTAATATGTTTGGTTAGAGGGAATAAATTGGTGGGTATATTATTTAAATTACTAAATTGTCCTCTTTTTAAATATTACTATGATATTATTTTTATTATTAATTTTTGAATAATTTCTTTTAACCCACAACATTTCAGATTTAGCTAAAACACCCAATTTATATAAAACTTTAATTTATGACAAAATCACCCCCACCCCTTGCTGCCGCCTGTCGCCATCGCAAACTACCGCCAAAAGTCTCCGAAATTCGCCTTGAGTAGCTCACCATGACCACGAGGCTCCGATATGGCTGTTTTCGGCCATATTGATGGCCAAAAACAACCATATCAGGCCAGATCTAGCTGGAAATAGCCAAATATATTGTGGTCATTTTTTACTAGATTAACAGCCGGATCTCGCCTAGATCTGGCTGCTAATGGCTAGGGATGTGGTCGTTAATGGCCAAATCCATCGATCTGGTCGACCTGTCAGATCTGGCCTAATATGGCTGTTTTTAGCCATCAATATATTGATGGCTGAAAACGACCATATCAAAGCCTCTCGGAGTCTCCTAACGAATCTCGATCATTTTCAAGGCTTCCGGTGACACTCTAACGACGGTGAGTGGTGGTTGGCCCGTCGCCGGCGGTGGTGATCTGTAATTTGCTTTAAATATAAGGGTATTATTGTCCAAAAATTTAATTAAACAAGAGTAAAATTAAAATGGTATATTAATGTAAATTTATTTTAAAACAAGGGTATTATTGTCTAACATTTTTTATTAATAAGGGATAGAATTGTAACAAAAATAAGATTACCTTGATAATCTTACAATACCTAAGAAAATGAAAGTAATCAGATTACCTTCAATATTACCAACAGTAACAACTATTGGTAATACAAGCTTATCGAAATCTTATATTATTTGACAACCAAATATGATAATCAAATAATATAAGATGATATAACCCCAATAATCTTCTATTATCTCCAACCAAACGCCCCCTTTGTGTTGTGTGGATTCTTTTCATTGTTTAAATGATTCTTAGCCGTGTGAAAAATGCCAGAGATTCCAATCACACATTAACTTTTTTCCATCGTTCTTCTAATTTAAAATTATATGGTCAAGCATGTTGTTAATTCTTGTTCTCATTCTGATAAAAGCCATCACTCAATTAATGCATCTAAACCTTCATATAAATTAAAACCAAACTCCATTAATTTTTCCCATATTGTCTTCTCTTCATTAATCAGCCATGTCTTCCAATCCCAATCCACATAAACTCAGCAATCTTCATGTCATATAAATGCTCGCAAATCAGCGAAAAGGATAAAAGCTAAGCTGACCACTGGATGTCCAGAACCTAGCGCCTCCCAAACAAGAAAGACCGTGCATTCTCTTATCTCCCACCTCTTCGCTTGCTTTTTGACCTTTTTTTCTTTCCTACCTTGGCACCATTACTCGTAGAAGGCTCAACCGATATTGGCAAGATAGTACCATCCTCAATTTCATTTGATATTGATAATTGCTCCGGCGTCTTCTCTGCTTCAAGATCTGCCATCAATTGTGCAAGCTGCAAGTAGATAGAAGAAAGCGACATTGAATGCTCAACACTTGGTTAAATCAGTATGCCAAGAAAGAAAATTATGCCTCACCTTCTTTTCCAACTCCAGTGTTCTATCATCCTTCACTCTCAAAGCCTTATTTTCCCTGAGAGAAGTCAAATGCAAGGCAATGAAATAAGGCCATCCATCAGTTAACTTCACAAATTGAGCAATGGTCTATAATTGTAGTGAGTTACTATCGCTGAGACTTAAAAGATGGAAGTTTCACGTATGATTTGAGTTTAGCTTCCATAATCCTTTGGGAAAAAAGTTATCTTCGCATCAAGTACAGACAAGTATTTTCGTCTCCCTGTAAAGGTTACATCTAGCCCATAAATCTCACAAGTTGTCAATGTTCATTTAACCAGTATTTGCTTACAAATTTCTCTGGCATTTAATGTAACAGCGATCATTGACAATGGGGCCATTGCAGAATATGCAACAATTTCACACATGATGGTGAAATTTAAAAGGTTGTCAAATTCCTAGCAACTTTTGAGGTCAATTCCTAATAAACAATTTGAAATTTACCACCAAATATGCCTTCTAAAATACATGGGACCTGAACAAGAATTAGATGTTTAAAAATGACCATACCTCTCTTCAACTTCCACTATCTTTGCTTTCCATATCTCTTGATTTTCCAAAAGATTCTCATTGAACCACATGGATAAACAAGAAATTTTCGTTGTTAACAAAATCAAGGGTTAACTTGGAACTTATTGTTCAAGCCACACTTTGGAATAACTTACGACATCAAGCAATTTCTTCTCTTCAACACATCTATCCAACTTGGATTGTATCTTCTGCAGTTTTTCAGAGATAGCCTTATTAACAGCTTCAGAAGTCAATTTTTCAGTTTCTTCTTTGATTTCTTGTACCAAGCCGTCATAATACTACAGTCAAGACAGAAATATTAGTTCACCAAGCAGCAACCACAACAAATCCGATTCAAGCTCAAGGTCAAGTAAGGGCTCAAAAGGCAAAGTCATTTAATCATTGAAAATGGAAGAGTGCACTTACTAATTCTTGCTTCTTAAGCCAGGTGGCCAGGGTTTTATTATGCCTGTTAGCATTCTGCACATAGTTTGAAATGAGGATATCAGATTGCAACGTATTAAGGAACATATTACCACTAAATGATGAACAAATTCTTAGACAAGTTAACAGAAAACACTACCGCTTCAACTTTGCTGTTTAAAAGAGCCTCACTAGCTCCAGTATCGCGATCACAGCTTCCATCAGTTTTTAATTGAATTAGTCTGTGAGCATAATTGCTGCCAGTATAATCCCAAACACGTCATTTGTCCAAATCAAGAGTACAGCAGTGTCCTGTTTCAACCCAGTGATTTATAGCAGGCCCTCTTTTACACCTACACCAATATTTTCAGCAAGAAACAGATGAGAGAAAAAGCTACATCTGACCAAAGCGTTACAATCACTCAGAAAAAAAAATTATATATATATATATATACCTCCAACAGCCTACAAAACCACATATATCACACATCCAGAGGTTCTCAGAAGTTTCACACAAAAAACATTTTGATTTTTCAGGCTGCTTCTGGCAATATCGGCAAACCACAAAATGCAGAAAACTAGTCAACGACTCTCAGATATTAGCTAAATCAAACTTTATTTAGGAAAGAACTTTAGAATCAGTAATGCTTAATTACACTGACTGCTGAAATAATTAGCAAAAGGTTAAGGCAAAGAAATTAATTAGCAATTGCAACTACCGCTTTAACGGGGCAGTTTAAAAGAGCGTCACCAGCTTCAGAATCACAACCATGGCTTCTGAAATTATCTTCAGCATGCAAACAATGGGAATTCAACTCAACCAGCTTTACATCAGTTTTTGATCGAATTACTCTGTAAACATAATTGCCGCAAGCATAATTCCAAAGACTCTGTTTTTTCAAATTAACAAAATAGCAGTGCTTTGGTTTTTCCTCCCAGTGAGTTCTAGCATGCCCTTCTTCATACCTACACCAATATTTTCAGTAAGAAACAGATGAGAGAAAAGCTACATCTGACTAGAGGGTTATAATCACTCAGTAATGAAATTAAAATTATACCTCCCACAGCCTACAAAACCGCATATAACACACATCCAGAGGTTCTCAGAGGTTTGACAAACAAAACATATTGATTTTTCAGGCTGCTGCTGGCAATATCTGCAAACCTAAACAAAATGCAGAAAACTAGTCAACAACTGTCAACTATTAGCTCAATCAAACTTTATTTAGGGAAAACGCTTTAGAATCAATAATGCTTAATTACATGACTGCTGAAATAATTAATAAAAGGTTAAGGAAAAGATAATTAGTAATTGCAACTATGGCAAAACCTCACCCATATACCAGGAAATTTAAGCTCTATTATGTCGACTTAAGTATATGGATCATTCATTCATAAAAAAGGATTAAGAAAGAAAAATATAAAGTTTACTAAATCATTAGGTATCATCCAAGTCAAAGAAGTATGTCATTGTTCACCACAAGGTTTTCTCAAAATTGAATTAGCAAGTGGCATCTACATTGGAAGATCAGTAAGACCACATTTAGACTTCAAATTGTCTCAGCACTAAAAATCCCTACACTGAAAGTACCACGATCATCACTCAAACACAAACACAAAAACATATAGAACAAGAAAATTAGAACCACTTACAGGACAAGAAGAATCTGTCCATCTTGAAATACAAGAGCAATGGAAAGAATGATTGCAGATAGTTTTAAGAATTCCACTTGTGCCTTGGTCTAATCCCTCTGTATTAAACAAAAATTGGAGAAATGGAACAGTTGTAAAAACATTTACAATTTTGGTTCATATTCATGAAGCTTTCTGACAACTCAGTTTGAAAAAATCACACTTGAAGAGGGAAGGTAATCAGTTGCTTAAACTAATACCGAGAAATTACCATGACAAACTGGACATGAAGCCAGCGAGCTAGCAGGAGCAGGCTTTGTACCAAGATGAAGTATGTCAGAAGTATTTTGTATGTCAGCTGTAAAATGCACACGGCAAGCCCCTTCCTGTATTAAAAAGAAAAATAATAATAAATAAAAACTAACGGAAAAATGATTAAGCCAATCAATAAATAATTCTAACAGCATCATCATATATAAATTTTCTTAATCAAAATATCAATGTTATTTAAAGTTTTGTTCTAGCACTCAATTGTCGGTTAGAAATAAAAAAGAGCAAAGCATACCTCCAGAGAATTAAATTTTCTACCGTTGAAATGCTGATAGAATTTATCTGTAGAGCCTTGGCTATCAAATCTTAACAAAATACTGTATTGATGCTTCATCCCATTAATCCTAAACCAAAAAAAAAAAAAATATATATATATATATATATATCAATAATGTCATTGTGTTCCCTTTAACGAATTCAAGTATTATTGATTAGGGCAGAGACATTGTTTTCATGTTCACTTTGTGATCTTAACGATTACCAAAGCAGATCCCATAGAGAGTTAAAGTCTATGATTTTACTTCTTTGACTTGGATGATGAGAAAAAGTTTTACCTAACAATGCGCATCTCCGATATATTTTGACCAAATGAAGCACAAAACTGATAAAAATCTGCATATGTCATGTGGCTTGGCAGTCCAAGAACACATACAAGAGGTTTCCTTCCCACCTACACAACATCAAACAAAAATTCAATTAAAAATAAATAAATTATACATTTTCAGATTAAATTAAATAAGGCACAGGTTAGTGACACATTTTTCTATTTTCAATAAAATGTAATACAATTGATCAATGTAAATTCAATGTTGAGATTACATCTAACAAAAACACATAAGAAATGACTCAATGGCACTGTTCGATAAAATCTCAACTCATAGTTTCACCCATAAGCACTAGTGATTTTTTAGTGCAAGCTATGTACCTATTTCAGCAAAACACGACATAATAGACCTATAAGACATTTTTGGCTATTTAAAAGTGCTTTTAATGGTGCCGAAGTACTTTCCGAACTGAGTTATTGCCTAAACTAACTTTTGTAAAGTATAAATAATTCAATTTCCAATTCATTTTTTCTATTAAGGAAAAAAAATTCAAATTAAACAATTCTTTTACTAAACAGAAATTGAATTGAGAGAACAAAAAAGAAAAAAAAAAACCGTTTAGGGTGAGGAAATGAGCTTAAAGGTAGATTGTGATTGGAAGAGGAAGCTGAAACAACGACGCCGCCATCGTCGACGTTGTTGTTGAAAAGACGCATAACGCCACATATCTTTCTGGTTCTAGAGTTTCCGGAATAGAAAGCTAAGGCCGTAGTCATTGAGTTATTAGACGCTGATGAGTCGTCGGAGATCATTCCGGCGGAGGACGTCGATGTTCCGGCGGAGGACGTTGATGTTTCGGACGAGGGCGACGATGGATAATTTTCGTAGACGATTGCTCTGCTGGAGCTTGATGACATGGCTGTCAGAATGGTATGTGACAGTAAGTCATAAGATTCTTATATAGTATACAAAGAAAGAAAACCAGATAGTGTACGGTTGCGGTGCACTGCTTGTTTTTGAAGAAGCAATAGTAAGCCGCCACGTAATCAAGACAAATCTAAGCAAAGAATTGGAAAACTTTCATTATTAATTAATAAAAACTTTATTACCAAAGAGGACTACAATATGACAAGAGGAAGAAGAAAAAAACAAAGAAAAAATAAAAAAAGAGAGAGAGAGAAAAAAAAATCGTAAAAATCAATGGTGGGGATTGTTATATGTCTTTGTAAAACTCTCTTAAATTTTTGACATATAATTGATGAGATTCACAATCATCAAAATGCAACCGTTCATAATAAATTATTGTTAAAATCTGTTTGATTTTATAAATCTTCTAGCATTATCTTGATGTGTGCACAAACAATAAAATTAAATAAAATTTGGATAATTTATTGATTATATATAATTAATTAATTAATTTTTATCTTGGTCAATAACAAGCAACAGATACAAGAGAAATTGACAAAATTTTAAATTATTAGTAAACAAATACATAAATGATATGATATGTTTGTCTCACTTAAGATTTTCTCCTTAATCAGATAATTTTTCAACATTATAAGATTGTTTAGTTTTCTACTAAACTTCTTTCCCATAAGGCTTTTGAAAATTCCTCCAAATTAACTAAACAAAATCAACCTCAAACTGTTGAAAAGAAAATCACTTGTTCATAGCTAATTACAACAGAGGAGATAAAATATGTAGTTTCTTAAACTTATTAGCGCTAGATCCTCAACCATTCTTGGTTCTTCTACTTGTAATAGTGACCATACTTCTTCTATTTCCTCCATGGATGTTCTTTTCCAAGTTCAGGAGTGTAGAAAAATCCACTAAACAGATAACTCATTTAGCACTTCTAGCAATATCGATATTCTTGGTAATGCTGATCCGATGGCTACGTTCAGTTGACATTCCACCGCCTTTACTTTTGACAGTGCACTCCGATCAGTGTTGCTGAATGGTTTGATCTTGGTGTTACTTTTCATGGAACAATATCAGCTTGCCATTCATGAGAGATGGTTGATTAAATAGCAACATTAGAGGATTTGTATAGATAACAGTTTTGAATGTTGAGATAATTAGGATCATAGGATTAGGATGTTAATTTGTTATGTATGATATGTTTGTTGAGAAAATATTTTGTATTTGAGTTTTATATTCGTGGTTGTTATAATCGATTCAAAGTTGATTAGAGTTTTGAAATTGAGTGATGTTATAGAAAGTGTTAAAAAAACAAACTTTCTATTGTTATTGTTTCTCATTATTATGTCTTTAGCTTAGTGAATAAATCATATTTAAGATCCGTTTATTTTTCTAGTATCCAGTTCGGATTGGAATATAAAATATCTAATCCTTGCAATTTAACTTTTCAGAACCTAGTTCCAAGTTTTGAAATTGAGTGATTTTTGTGTTTATGCATCTGAAAAAAAGTTCATTTGGCTTTGACAATAATTTTACACACAAAAGAAGTTTTTTTTTTTTTTGAGATTATGAATAAATTAAAATACTTTAGATAGAATTTTAATTGGTTCGTCTTTTTAATTGTGCATATTATCTAGTTAATGTTACTCGTATTGCCAAATTTAAAAACTAATATAAACATGTCTTTATATATAAAAAATATGAAGTAACAAAATGGTAAAAATAAAACACTAAAACTATCTACACTGAAAATATGAAGAAGACAAACATTATTAAATCAAATAGCAATTAAATATAACTCTTATATGCTATTTAATAATTTTAATGAAAAAACTATAATTAAAAAATAATAATAATTGGAGTCTATAATATAAAATAAAATATGAGGTAAATAGCAGCACTCTTTGAAATTATCTTATAATTGTTTCCTTAAGAGTTTACAAAAGAGAAATAATCCTAATTTATTTATTTTTACTACCTAGTTAATTTTGACAAATTCAAACAAAAATATTTCTGAAATAATAGTTAATTTCATTGTAATTGGTTACTTCAATAATTTGATATAAAAAACTTTATGTCACATGTTAGGAACTAAGGAGTTACATCACTACACACCAAAAGGCTAACTCTAACACCTCTTTAATGCGCTTCCGATTGTGGGATTTGTGACATCTCTGGCCCCTACTTGTCTCGAGTAAACCCACTATCATACGTGGGTGAAAGGATTCCCCCTTATATGCGCTTTAGACGAAAGATCCATGACATTTATCATGTATTATAAATATAAAAAGGTCACATGCTCCCACTCAAACTTTGCCTAAGAGACAAATTAGTATCTAAAAAGTTTCAAACGATAAATACTCACTTTCTGTCCATATCTGTTAATGAATTCCGTCTATAGTAACTGAAAATACTAAAACACCCTTATTATTTTCTTCCTTCTCCTCTCTCCACCGCTTTAAACACATTTCCTTCTCCAAGATTTCGTCTTTTCATTTGCAACAACAAAAGTGCCCCACCACCAGCCCGGCAATAACCACCACAACAATAATCGTCCGGACAGCAGCCACCACAACATTAACAAAATGTTCTTACAGATATTGAAGATTAGCCAAAGATCCAAGGTCAGGGACAAGAGATCATTGGAGTTCATAATTGCCAAGAGCCCTTCAAGAAGCAAATTGAAATTCCACTTTCAAGTTAAAAAAATTGAGTTCTCAAATAGCCAAATCTAAACTCAATAATCTTTAAATAAACTAATGAAAGGTGGAATATATATACAACCTTGTGACTTTGTTATCATCATTGCCTGTAACGTGAAGCCAGGTGCATGGATAAAAAAATGCTGCATCCCAGCTTTGAAACCCACTGTTTGGATCAACCAAGGCGTATTTCAAAGCAGAAAGAGCGTCTGTTGTTTGGCAAACAATTTAACAATCACTTAAGCTAATATCATTAAATTCATCGCATTATTAAAGAGTTGAAGATTAAATTTCAGAGAAAAATGGTGATATTTCAATAATTTATACAGGGAACATGACTAAATTAAACTGCTAAGAAAACTTCAGGGGTGATTAATGTTGTGGTGGCTGCTGTGGGGCGGTTGTTGATGTGGTGGTTGTTGTCGGGACGATTGTTGTTGTGGTGGTTACTGCCGGAGTGGTGGTGGTGGTTGTTGGTGTGGCACTTTTGTTGTTGCAAATAAAAAGATGAAATCTTAGAGAAGGAGGTGTGTTTAAAGCGGTGGAGAAGAAGAAGGGAAAGAAGAAGAAAGAGGAGAAAGAAGAAAATAATAAGGGCGTTTTAGTATTTTCAGTTCTTAAAGACGGAGTTCACTAACAGATATGAACGGAAAGTGGGTATTTGTCGTTTTGAAACTTTTTGGATACTCACTTGTACTTTAGGCAAAGTTTGGGTGGGAATGCCGTTCGGCCATATAAAAATTTATATACTGAAATCAGAATCATATTATGATGGATGATGCTAAAATTTAACTTTTAAAATTATATATTTATATATAGAAAAAATTATTTCCATTTGAGGATTCTCAAAATATGAAGCCTTTTGATGGAGATTACAGTAACAGAGTGATGCTGTAACGGAGAACCTTGGAGCCGTCCTGCCCAAGACGTTGCCGGATTCGGGGTCTGTTTGGATGCGGGTTTATGATTAAACTCAGATTTTACTTTCTTCACATTCAGCTTCATAGAAGCCGCCGTCATTATAGGTACACACAGAACATAACATAGTCGAGTTCAAATGCTCTCTTCAACCATTTCTCGTTGCTTTAACTCAATTCCTCTTCTCTCTTGCTCTCATTTTCTCCTCTTCGCACTTCCTATATCCACTCTCAAACCCGCAAACCCCACTCCAATCCCCACAATTTCGACCAAGAAACTGTCCACAACACTCTCTCCTCCTACGCCAATGACTGGAACCGCGCATTCGAGTTCTTCAACTGGGTCGAAACAGACCACCAATTTAATCACACCACAGAAACCTATAATTGCATGATTGATATCTTGGGTAAGTTCTTTGAATTCGATCAGTCTTGGAACTTAATTCACCGCATGAAACAAAACCGCCTTTCACTTCCTAATCATGCCACATTTCGTATCATGTTTAAGCGTTATGTAAATGCACATCTTGTTAATGAAGCAGTGGATACGTTTAATCGGTTGGGTGAGTTTAATTTGAGAGATGAGACTTCGTATTGTAACTTTGTTGACTCACTTTGTGAGTATAAGCATGTGATTGAGGCTCAAGATTTGTGTTTTGGGGAAAACAAGATTGTGGGGGTTTAATAATAATAATACAAAGATTTATAATATGATTCTTAGAGGGTGGTTTAAGATGGGGTGGTGGGCTAAGTGTGGGGAAGTTTTGGGAGGACATGGATAAGAGAGGTGTTGTTAAAGATCTGCATTCGTATTCAATATATATGGATATTGTGTGCAAGAGTGGGAAGCCGTGGAAGGCGGTGAAATTGTTTAAGGAGGTGAAGGAGATGGGGATTGAGATGGATGTGGTGGCATATAATACAGTTATTCGTGCCATTGGGCTATCAGAGGGTGTTGATTTCTCAATGAGGGTGTAACGTGAGATGAGGGAGGTTGGTTGTCAACCTAATGTTGTGACTTGCAATATTATTATAAAGCTTTTGTGTGAGAATGGGAGGATGGAGGAAGCATATGAGTTTCTTGGTCAAATGCCTGAGAAGGGTTGTGCGCCGGATGTGTTTACTTACCATAGCTTTTTTCGGTGTCTTGAGAAGCCGAGGGAGATTCTTAGATTGTTTGACAGAATGATTGAGAGTGAGATTCGGCCAAAGATGGATACTTATGTGATACTTTTGAGAAAGTTTGAGAGATGGGGTTTTCTTCGACCGATTTTTGTGGTGTGGAAGAAGATGGAAGAGCTTGGGTGTAGCCCGGATGAATTTGCTTACAATGCTTTGATTGATGCTCTAATTCAAAAAGGTATGTTAGATATGGCTAAGAAGTATGATGACGAGATGTTAGCTAAAGGTCTTTCACCAAGGCCAAGAGCAGAGTTGGGCACAAAGCTGGTGCCAGGAGAGGATTAGATGGTGGATAGGTATGTAAGAATAATGTTCATTGAGAAGATGATTCTGGTTTCACCCAGATTCTATTAATGAAGAAGTTGACGCTACATTGTGATGATGTTAGTGCATGGAGGAGTGAATGGTGGATTTGATGGGAAATTAGGAAGGAGACTTTGCAATCATGATCACACTCAGCACAGAGGGTAAATTATCGTGACAAAACAAGTATATGATCATGCTGTAGCTGCAAGAATTTTGGCTGTGCGTTAGAAGAAGGGCTATCCTTATGATTATGTGGGAATGCTCATTGTTGATGATGTGAGCATTGCATCCAAGGATGGACATGATAAAAGATGTAGCTTGCGATTGTTATATGCTGCAACTATCATCTGAGCTTGTGAAAGTTTTTCAGTGTGTTCAGGAGAAGTGCTGTATCAACTCTAATTTTCTTCATGGAATTCAGGCACTTTATATGAACGCAAGTAAGAAGCTCTTAATTGTTCCTTTTTTGGTACCCTGGCTTGAATTTGAAGTCTAGAAATGACAAACCAGCTTACTTTGTCAATGCTGTGGCAATTCATAAACATGTGATTTTTTCTCTACTGTAACACTATATATTAGTTGTACTGTTATATTTGTGTAAAATAAGAGAGAAAATAGGTCTTTCTTTGTAACAACGTTCATAGGGTTGAAAAGTATTAAAATACTTCTTAGATTTTTAGATTATCTCTAAAGTTTTATAAAGTTATATTTCGACCAAGAAATGTTCAACAAACTGCAAAAGAAGAGTTATTTGTTCTCCATAAATTAAACAATCATTTCCATGTCACACAAGCTCCAGTTAAATGAGATTTCAGAATGATGAGTGAGATAAAACACCATAATAGAAAGCTGAGAGACCAAAAGACTAATGAACCTGTTAAGTTACGAAAAAGATCCTAATGAGATTTAACATAATTAGTAAATACTCAGTATCCTAATTGCCGGCAGGAGGGAACACTTCTAAATTTAAACCAAAAGCCTTTCAGTCTCAATGTGATGAAGATCTAATTCCAAATCTTCTTGTACACCAACAACATCTATCTTACTAGTTATTAAGCTAACCGGTAAAATGTATGACTGTAGTTTGAAAGATTCTATTGTAAATAAGTGCTTAGAAAATCAACCCAAGATTAAGCACTTGATAAAAAATCAAATATGAATAGAGATAAGAGGGAAAAAAAAAAAAAAATTTACCTGGTTCACCGATTTGGGCTACATTCAGGGCAATATTATGGCTGAATTTTTTTTGCTATAGATCAGAAGAGTACAATGGTACAGTCTCTTTCACAATGGTATGAGAAAGGCACGTCATCTGAACTCCACTTAGATGACTGGGATGACAATACAGGTACTTAATTCATTCCAAATCTCTAACATCAACTTGTGCCGCATTCTAGTTATTCTGAACTAGCTGTGACATTTATTTTTGTGCACTTCAACTACCGCTTGGAGGTAAGTTATCTTTGGTTGAATAGCATCATCCCTGCTCTAGCTTGGGTCCCGGGATAAAAAACCATGAGCTACCACTGCTAATCAAGCTAAAAAAAAAAAAAAAAAAAAAAAAAAAAGGAACTATAAGGAAGTTTTGTGACTTGAGATTCCTGTAACTTTCTGTCGAATCGACAGAGTTCCATGAACATTGAAAATGAATCAGATAGTTCATGTTTCACATCAACTGATAAGAACAATTTACTAGATTATATGCATAGACTCTGGTTCTTTACTTATCATACGTTTGGAAACTGCAAACCTGAGAAAGACTCAAGTTCTTGAAACAGGACATTTGCTTCATGTAATTAAGCATCTAGTGTATTATAATCATGCCAGTTGGTGGAAGAGTCAGTGTTCAATCAATAACTCCATGTTACTGATTGTGTATCTAGAAAAACATGATGAATTATATTAGATTATCTCTGCTTACTTCTGTTCTTCATAATGAAAATATGCTGCGACACTTTGAAACTGAGTAAAAGTTAAGTTCCTGAAACACGTCTTTTCCTTTATGCCAATGAACATCGAGCACACTCTGACTGGCTAGTGCCACACCCATGCAAGGGATATCTTCAATTTTCCTCGGATGTCCCATAGACATATTTTACAGGTCGGAGAACACAATTATTGAAAATTGTAACTGTGTGGACTTAGACTGCAAATTTTGGTAGTTTCTGTCACAGAGGATAAAGAAGCTGTGTTACATGTACACAAAACTATTGAGTCTGCATATGATATAGTAACCTATATATGTGATAAAATTGCCACAGTGCATGTTTACTTGTGAATGCAAGTGAGCTTGGCATCTTATCATGAAACAATTGGATGTTGAATGACGAAATGTTCCAATGCTGCCATTTAGAAAATCAGGTTAAAAGAATGAAAAATGTTGAGAATATATAGATCAAATGATGCATCAAGATTTTCTTTCCAGGATCAGTACCATTGAGTTACTTTCCTGATAAAAAGACAAACAGATTTTCCAATAATTACCTTTTTTGGGTAAACAATTTTATAACCAAAGGACTCGTTGTCGAAATTAGTTTATTAATACTCTAATGCATAGGTAGATGGCCAATTACCTAGTCCATGCTCAAGCATCAACGGCGAAGTGATGGAGGCTACTCAAATGGCAATGGTACCCAATATAAACATTTGTTTCAGTAGATGTCTCTATTGCATGACTGCTGGATTTTGAGAGCAGGAGAAAAGAAAATAATTAGCAGGGGATAACTTTAAATAAGAAGATTAAGAAAGAAATTTGACATCTGATGGAGGTGGTTTGGTAGAAACCTTGAGAGACAACAGCTTCTTGAAAAACACCACGGTAAGTTGATGGAGCATTTTTAGTTTTCACATTGCAATGGTGCCTGGTATTCAACATTTCTTTCACAAGATATCTTTAATGCATGATTTTTCGGTTGCTGCAGCTTGAAAAGAAAGTAAAAGAAGATTTTAGCAAAAGATAAATTTGCCACAGAACAGTAGATCCGAAGAAATCATATCACCTTGTAATATTATACTATGATAACTAGAGTTAGGAGGATGATTAAAACACAATACGACCGAAATTAAGAATTTAAGATGCCCTATGCCCAATTACCTAGTTCATGTCCTTTACCCAAAAAAAAAAAAAAAAAATTACGTAGTCCATGTCTCAGGTTCCGACCTACAACAACAATTACTTCAGAAAATAGCGATAATTAAGCACTTCTTAGAAAAGGTTACCCCTGCATGACTGCTTCCTGGAGCTTGAAAACAGAGAAAAAGAAAACATTTAGCATGGTACAGCTCATGATTCTATGTGAATGATTTTTGACAATATATTTGTTGCAAAATCATTTATATATTCCTTTATGAGAGTTCATTCCCAGAAAATACAACAAATAATGTCAAAAAACAACTAATTAAAAAGGAGGAGAGGAAATTATCAGTGGGTTGATGGCTAATTTACCCAGGGGACGCAGACGCTCAAAGTTTATGAAACCCACGTACATAACTTTCTCAAATTGTCTAACGACTTCATGCAATCAGGTGACATAGTTTTACCTCTGTAATTTCGTAGCCATATATCTCCAAATTTGGAGTTTGCAAGGCCACAAAAAGTTCTTCATGCCGTTCATTCATCCTCCCATTGAAGTCTAAATCCAGTCACGCAAGTTTTTCTTATTGTTTAGTTCTATTCCCTTGACCTTACCCACATCTCTTAAGTTTCCCAATCCTTCAATGCGAATTTCTCCAATGAGTCTGAAGTTTTTCAGACATTCAATAGAATAAAGCTTTATTACCATAACTGCCATCACTTACAACAAATTCGCCTAAGTTAATCGCTTCAAACTTTTTGGCATGTAACTTACACAAGTATCCGAATTTAACAAATGTCTCAAGTTGATTTAAGTTTCCCATCCCTGAAGTCAGTTTTTGGAGATTGCAACACCCTCTGATGTCTAAGTTTTCTAAATTGAGCAACTCACACAATGTCTTGGGCAATTGTGTTATATCTTCATTATCAAAAGATTCTGATTTAAATTTACCATCTAAAACATTCATTTTGGGTAAGAAACTGAGCAAAATCATGTATTTTTTGCAAGATATTACACTGTTATCATATTCATTTACTTGAAAATCTTGAAAAAAAGAATGCATTGCTAAGTTTTCAAAACACTCTTTAGTCTTTACCAATTAACTCTATATCTTTGTTTAGTTTTGACCTTACATAAACTTGAACCATCCATAACTTAATCAATTGTACTCTCTATATTTCATAATTCTTTGGAAAAATTGAACAATGTGAGAAACATTTTCTTCAAAATAGGGGGTAAATATAATAGGTTAAAAGTAGAGGTTGAAAAAGCTCTTGTTCTACTTCTAATTCCCATATTCTGCTCTCTACGATATTTTTCTATTTGTCAAATCTTTTCAAGCACAAAAGACCCGCAAGCCTTTACACTTTTGAACAATTTGTTTACCAATTTCTTCAAATCCTTTATTGGCTTTTCTAGAAAATGCAACTTGACTAAATAATAACCAACATTCCTCCTTGGATAGTATCAATCCCCGGTGAGATCATGTTGGTGGTTTAAATGACATTTGCAACAATCTCCTTCATGTGGTTACCCAAATTCTACTTTTTGGAGAACCACACTTGAGAGACTTCATCAGTTCTTCCCAAATTCTGGAATTTTCGGTCCAAATGTCATCTAGGACAAGAAGAAACTTATTTCCCTCAATATGTTGACATATATTTTGCATTATAGTTTCTAGCAGAACTAACTTTGATGCATCATTTGTAAGAGATTCAAATTGATTTAGCAATACTAGACTCATCAAAATGTTCATAAACACACATCCATATTTTTTTCATTAAAATGGCTTTTGACCTTATCATCATTAAAAACTAATGGGGCAAGAGTGGTCTTGCCCTCCAATCCCAATAATTGAGCTTACGGAAGTCTTGTTGTTGAATACTTGGACTTAACAACAAATTCACTATTCTATCTTTATCTTCATTTCTTCCACGAACCTTCGTTAAATCAACTGAAGATGTTGTCATTGGTTGTTCCAGTTCTTCTCTACTGTTTGTGCTTGAGCTGAAGTTGGACATAGCTTTCTTCGAAGCAATTATATCTAATTTTCTATCTAGATCTTTGTTATGCCTGAAAAAGTAGGGCTGACGTGGAGCCTCGTCAGTAAAGGATGGTCAGAGTTCAGAAGGGTTTTGTGCCATCCAGGTGCGGCCACGTCTCACCTAGTGCAAGTGGCATGGCTCCTGTCAGTACAACAGGTGAGTGCCAGGCCAACAAGCGGCTGGAGATTGCCCACGTGTCAAAGCCCTGCTTTAATCGAGGAAATCCCTCGGGCAGGTGATCAATGGGACGCAAAGAAAGGATTTGCACGACACTTACCCACTTGCAGCTTTCATAATCATTACCTTGAACTTTCCCATTATAAATAGAGGACTTGCCTCTCATTTGGGGGGATTAGCTAATTTTACGCTGAAATAACTCTCTCTCTCTAAATTGTAACTCAACTCGCTGAACGCGACCTGATCACTCTCTCTTATTAATACAATAGCAGTGGACGTAGGATTTGTTTTAGAGCATCCGAACCACTTTAAATATTGCTCTTCACT